AATCCCGCCCCTTCACGTTAGCAGATGAGACTTGAGCCAAGCTAAAAACTCATAAAGTACAGATCAAATTTCTGTTAGTAATATAGGCCAAATTGATTTAGAATGATGCAAATGTTTATTTATTTAGAGAATATATTGAGACCTTGTATTAGAGATGCAAAATTGTTATCCCTTATTTTGGTAATTCAAAATGTCAAAGTGCACTTATTTCCACATTCACACTGATGACACACTGATGACACAAAACATCATGACTCTGTAATAAATTTATTGTGACCTCACAAAACTGGGGATTAAAACTACAGAATACACTTTTATTTCTAAATCAGTCCTCAAATGACTAAATTCTGTCCTCGACCTCTCAGCATTCCACCAGCTGGATCTGTGTGGCCACTTACAGTTTAAAATTTGTTACAGAAGTAAATTAATCTTTTCTTGTAGTGCATCTTTGACCGTTCAGACTTTTTTTGTGACCTGTTGTGTAAAGTGGACTCTGATGTAATCATATTAACCACAGAATTGAGGAATTGCATGTTCAGAACATTTTCTAACATTTCACATTTAGCCATTGGAGTTGACTGAAAACTGATTTTACTTATACCCTGATCACTGCAGGTCTGAACCAATAACATCTACAAATTCCAAACTGTTAAGTGGAGATGAGCTGATCATTGACCTGCAACCCATCTCAACATCACACTGTCAGACACATGTTGAAGAAGTCAGTAAGATCTCAACATTGGATGGAGAAGGTAGAGAGAAGCTATACCCAAACTCACAACAACCAGAGAACATCCGTGCAGTTCCCATCCACCGCCGTCCAGATCTGCTGATCCCCTGCGCAGACCTGGTCAACTCTGAGTGGCACAGGAGCCAGGGCGCCCGTGTTCACTCCCTCCAGAAGTCCTGTCCAGACTTCCCAATCTCTCTGGTGCTCCTGCAGGGCCACAGAAAGGCAGAAAGTCTGCTTGGTCATGCCCGCCTATCTCGAGTCGTAGGTCACGGCACCAGCCTGTTCGTTGAGTCAGTGGTTGTGCCCAAGGCGGAGCGAGGGAAGGGCTATGGTCGGATTTTGATGAAGGAGACTGAGCACTACGCCAAAAGCCAAGGGTTCAAGCGTCTGTGCCTGACCACCCATGATAAGCAGCACTTTTACTCACACCTCGGTTACGTGCTGTCGACACCAGTGCAGAATGCAGGCTCCATGACGACGTTTGTTCCCATGGAGATGCTTCTGAAGTTCTCCAGAATGCCAAGCGAGGAGGCGAGCATGCAAAAACAAACACGGGCAAAGAAGGATGCCCCAGTACCACAAAGCAACAGGGACTCAGGAGGTACTTCTTCTCTTATAGGAGGCCCATTGCTCCCTCCACATCCTCCTCCCCCACCACCTCCTCCCTCCATTCTCCCTTCACCTCCTCCTCCCGTAAAGGAGCTTGTAGTTCAGACACTGACTGAAACTCCCTACAGAGATGCCAGAGGAGTTCCCATCTACTGGATGCACAAAGACATTTAAGGAATACACAATCAGATGCACTTGGAAATCATTTCAGCTACATTAATGAACAGGTGTATATTTATATGTGCACCCATCAAAAGATACCAAAAAGAAACGTATGCACAAACAAATAAAGCACACACACCATTACAGGAACAGTGGAGCCGACGAATATCAACATTCAAACGCTGACAAAAGTACTGGAGCATGTGCATTGAGAAAGAACTAGGCACATGCTGTATGTGTGTTACTGCCTCCCATTAGTGTACAGAAAGAGATGTAGTGTAAGCGCTCAGACAACACTCGTTATTTAATATATAGCTTAAAAATGACAAGAAATTTGACTTGACATGAAGCTTCTCATTCTGTGTTGCAGCACCTGCCTCTTATTATTATAGTCTGGGCCACCGTTCTGATTGGACAGTTTGTTGGATTTTTTAAAATGAAAATAAAGGTGAATGCTCAGACACAATTGTATCAGACACAATTATTGAAAAATTGCAGACGTAAAACTGTAATTGTTGGAGGACAACAAAAGGTTGTTTATGTACACTCAGTCCGTGCTTTCACTTCTAAACAACTAGTTTGGATAACATTAAATTGAGCATTATGCTGTAAATCTACATAGCAACAGCGAGGAAACTAGAAATCATGGCCAACATTGGAAAAATAGCTACTTTAGTGGTTTACTTTGAAAAGAAAAATACTTGCATATTAATAGATTGTGAATGTTTCAAAATGGGAGGCTGAATGGGTGTAAATGTAATTGTTACCTAGTCAGATCGGCTGCTGTGTGGAATAACCATATCAGACACAATTATTCACAGCAGAGTATTTTCTAAGTTTTATTTGACACTGTAAGTGCACTGTAATGTTGAACTCAGAGGCTGAATGTGCCTCATTGAACTGCCAGTGAGCTTAAGCCCTATTAAAGTTTCATAGACTTGTTGTATTGATGAAATGGATACATCTCTTAATCTGATGTCTCGGCAGTGAAATATGATGAAATAAAAGATCATTTAATGAAAAACTTTTTAAATTGTTTTTTCCCATTTTATCATATGTTAGGATTTTTATTGATAATACGTTTACAGGTTGCAAACAACTTATTGACTATTTTAGTAAGTGTGTTTGACTTCCTGTGGCAATAGACTATGTTTATTAAGAAGTGGAAAAACCATATCAGACACAGTTATTTAGAGTGGAGTATTTTATATGTTTTCTCCTGTTAGGACAGACACATCAGTGGATAAGTAGCCATGGTGCTGTCTCCCCTCTCTTTCCCCTTCCCCATCTTCCTTTCCTTCTCTCCTCTCTCCTGTACCTCAGTGTCACAGAGCTCTACCCATGTAGAGCCTCTCCTCCACATCCCACTGCCTGCTGTGGATGCACCACATCGAATCCTGCACCATCAGCCCTTCGCTGTGGTGTAGAATATGCCCACAACACAGTGTCAGACATGCTACAACATCAACCTGGATCTGGAAGATTTTGATACTGTGGACAACTGACAGCACAGATTCCAGTAATTGATCCTAGTCGGTGGACCATGGTGTCACCAGTGGGATGTCATGTTAGTGTATACACTGGAGAACAAGTATATTGTTGACATACTTTCAAATGGAGCAATAAAAGAGCCATAGAACTCTTGACAGACATGAGGTTTAGGAGGCAGGTGTTACCAGGCCTACGTACATATGCGTAGATAAATTACAGAATGGACCTACCAGGCACAAGCCCAGGTAGGTCCATCACAATCAGTTTTACTTTCTGGCAGTTCGCACATTTGTTTTGTATGTTGTTCCACAAGTCGATTGTTCATGAATGTGCAATGTTAAATAAATGACACTGACACATATGATACGGTATGACAACACAACTGACAGCACAAAACAGAACATCTGCTACAGTTTTAAAGATGGTGTGTCTCTTAAACACACTGTGTGACACAGTGGCAACAGTTTAAAATCGCTCATTATTTTGAGCAACAATGGTTTGTTGAAAACCTTAAATATACTTTTTCTGATGTAATGTTACAAGATAACCTCCCATCTCTTAATGGTTGTATGAGACACATTTCATCTTGAAACAGAGGCAACATTTAGAGAACATTGTGATGAATGTTTTCTTCACCACATGGTTTTACTTCACACACGTTCAGGTATTTAAAGTACACAGTATGCTTGGATACAAGTGTATGTTTAGTTTTATGTGCAGGTTTTCTTCATGACCCTCCTCTCATGGCTGTCAGGTTGTGTCTCAGCACCTGCAGTTCTTGGATCAGCTTCGATAGCTCTGCAGCTGCATTCTTTTTCTCCCTCACTGCCTCAGTCAACATCTGGATTGCGCCGCCCTGCTGGACTGGAGAATAAATAGGCAAAGGTTGAAACTGTTAGGTTACACAAAGCAAAATACATTAAAAAAATCAGAAGAATATATGCCATAGCTAGAAGTGTAAATTAAAGTAGTAAATGACATACAATTTATCAAGTGTAACATTGTAATTCATAGACCCAGGAAATACTGAGGGAGAACATATAAACATGAATGAATATCATATCTCACCCAAAAAGTAGGAGATGACTAGCACTGTTAGCAGAAGCAAAGTGATGATAGCACAGCCCATGGCATATGCACGTGATGAATTGGGCGTCAACATGTCCTGCAGACAGCTCTGCCATTGGCTGCTGACTGGATGGCCTCTTTGATTGACAGCAGTCATGTCACACGTGTAGAGGTTTCCATTCAGTGAGGGTGTGTAAGCAGGACGAGGAGGCCTCATCCCTGAAATCACACACACTGTTATTGTGTGTGTGCTTCAGTGGCTGGTCTGGGGTGTGTTTGTGTATTTATATCGTTGTTGTGTTTGAGGTGTGTGCACCTTTGAGGCTGTATTTAAAGTTTTTGTGTGTGTACTTTTGTATTTAAGGTGTGTATGTGTACGTTAGCGGCTATACTTAGGGTGTGTGTGTGTACCTTTATATATCTGTGTTTGAAGTTAGGGTGTTTGGGTTGTGTATATGTACAGTGGGTACAGAAAGTATTCAGACCCCCTTAAATTTTTCACTCTTTGTTATATTGCAGCCATATGCTAAAATCATTTAAGTTCATTTTTTTCCTCATTAATGTACACACAGCACCCCATATTGACAGAAAAACACAGAATTTTTGACATTTTTGCAGATTTATTAAAAAAGAAAAACTGAAATATCACATGGTCATAAGTATTCAGACCCTTCGCTGTGACACTCATATATTTAACTTAGGCTCTGTCCATTTCATCTGATCATCCCTGAGATGGTTCTACACCTTCATTTGAGTCCAGCGGTGTTTGATTATACTGATTGGACGTGATTAGGAAAGCCACACACCTGTCTATACA